GGGGGTGTCAGGAGGGTGTCATGTCCTGTCCTCCCCAGTGACACGAAGACAGAATTAACATCCTTGGTGACATCGTGGTTGTGTCAGCGGTGACGTCATGGTTGTGCCAGAGGTGACATCCCCGTTGATCTGTTGGTGACGTCGTGGCTGTGCCAGCAATGACATCATGGTTGTGCCATTGGTGACATCATGGCTGTGCCATTGGTAATGTTATGGTTGTGCCAGCGGTGACATCCCTGTTGATCCATTGGTGATGTCATGGCTGTGCCAGCAATGACACCCTGCTTGTGCCAATGGTGACATCATGGTTGTGCCAATGGTGACATCATGGTGGTGCCAGCAATGACACCCTGGTTATGCCATTGGTGACATCATGGCTGTGCCATTGGTGACATCCCCATTGACCCATTGGTGACATCATGGTTCTGCCGGCAATGACGCCCTGGTTGTGCCATCAGTGACATCATGGTTGTGCCATCAGTGACATCAAGGTTGTGCCAATAGTGACATCCCAATTGATCCATCGGTGACATGGTTATGTCAGTGATGACATCCTGGTTGTGTCAGCAGTGACATCACATTTGTGCCGTTGGTGACATCCCGGTTGCACCAGCAGTGACGTCCTGGCTCTATCATTGGTGACGTCATGATTGTGCCTTAGCTGACATCACGGTTGTGGCACCGGTGACATCACCGCATCTGCCGCCGGTTCGGCTCCCACTTCCCGCGACGCCGCTACTTCCTCAGTTGTTTTTATCCCTTTCTCTATTTTTATCACCGATTATTATTTCTTTCCCCCCATTCCACACGTCCTTCACTTTCTTTCCCTCCTCTTCATTTTCGCTTCCTATAGTTGGTTTTTTTTTTCCCCATATTTTGATATTTTTCCTCTTTTTTTTTCGCACCTACGTTACCGCCTGTTCCTCTTGCCGATATTTTAAACATATTTATTTTGGGTTTTTTTCCCCCCCAATAAACACGAGTCCTTCCCAGAGCATCTCCTCTTGAATTAGGGTTGGGTTTGGTTTGTTGTTTTTTTTTCCCAGTCGAAAACTTCCCGTTTCCAGTGATTTCAGCAATTCCCGACTTTTCCAAAAGGAAGCGAGCCGAAAAAGCTTATTTCAGCTTTTTCTCCTCTTCCGGAGGGGATGAAAAAAATAGTCATTCTCAGCCTTAATTCTGTTTCTTCTGTATTTCTTTTGACGCGTTTCTATTTTGGATGTAACCCTTTCCGTTCCTTTTAGTGTTGGTTGTCTTTTCTTTTTTTAATTTTTCAAAATTTTCTTCATTTATTTCCCCGCCCCCCCCGTTCCCCCCCCCCGAGAAGCCCTCCGGTAATAGGGAAGAAATGGGAGAAATCGGGATTTCGGGCAGGAAAAAAAAATAATTAAAAAATAAAGCACCACCACCGCCTTTTCCCGATAGTACCGAAATGCACCAAATCCCGTTCCGAGGGACGGAGCGAAAAACCAACATAAAAATTCAGGGAAATCAGTAACAATTAAAAAAAAAAAAACAAACCCAAAAACTAAACCCAACAAAAAAACACACAACAAAACCCACCACAAACGCGCGAAAGTTTTTTTTGCAAAGTCCGCGTGGACAAGGATAAAAAAACCAACAAAAAAAAAACCCCAACCCCAAACAACCCCCAAATATTCCATTAAGTGCCTGAAAAAATACGACGTCACAACATCGCGGGGTTTTGCCCGAAAGTATTTTCTTGCCGAAAGGAAAAAAAAATAATTCAAAATGAAAGGGGAAAAAAAAAAAAACCACCAAAAAAACCCCAACAAAAACAACAAAACCCCCAAAACAACCAAAAACCGGACTGGCTCCATTTCTGAGGAATGATGCGGGATGAGATGAGCTCCGGGAGACGCCACGGGAGATGGGGACGTGGAAATATCCCCCCCTGAGTCCCTCAGGGCAGCTCCTGGGTGGTAGAAGGTGACGTGGCGGCGTGGGACAACTCCTGTTTTTGCCGTTTTTTCTCCCAAAATGCTCCGAGGTGGGAGGAGAAGGTGGTACCTGGATTGGGGGTGATGACGTGGACCTTCATCCGATGGGGAGAAGAGGTGAGGAGATGCTCTGGTGGGCACCAACGGGAGATGTTGGGATAAGGGATGGGGTGGGG